TGTGTGTGTGTGTGTATTCATGAATATAGTCTCATTTTCCTTCCTACACATCTTCAACTTTTAAGTATATGCTTCCACTCATAGATTATTGCTATTGCGGGATTGTGAATACAATGTACTTACCTCTGTTGCTTTGAACTCATACGACTCATGTCAGAGTCTTCCCTTATGTGCTGACTTCTCTCTTACATATGGCCTTTCCTGTGTACCTACATTCTTAGTCTGCCTCTACTTTTAGTGACTTCCCTTCCCATCCTGCACGTGGTAGAATTATATTCTTTTATGACAAAACCTTTTTCTTGGCTTTTTACATAGTGATCTTGTGCAGTAGTTGCCCTTTTGTGATTGACTCATTTCACACAGCATTATGTCATCCGTGTCCATCCATGCTGTGAGGTATTTTCCAGATTCATCGCAATGACACTGTGTGTGTACCATACTTTGTTGACCCATTTTTCCATGGATGGGCATTTAAGCTGTTTCCATATTTTTGCTGTTGTGAATAGTGCTGCGGTGAACACGAGTGTACATATATCTATGCATGTCACAGAGCTTATTTCTCTAGGATATATTCTAAATAAGGGATTATTGCATCCTGTGGTGTTTCTCTTTCCAACTCTGAACACTGGATACCATTTTCCATAGTGGTTACACTATTTTACAACCGCACGAGTGTTCCAGTCTCTCCACACCCTTGCCAGCTTTTTTATTCTGTTTTTTTTTAACTCTGCTATTAATGCTGGAGTGAAATGATATCTCATTGTTAGCATTTGCACCTGTCTAAAGGAGTCCTGGTATTGTCATGATTACGAGTTGGACTGTGAACCACATGATTAGCAGTTTCTAAACCGCCAGCAGACCCGGGGAAGAAAGACTGGGTTTTCTACTCCTTTAATCAGAGACTCAGAAACCCATGGGTTGGTGGGGAGGGAGGAGCAGGGGCTGTCGAAATGAGTCAGCATTGACTGGAAGGCAGTGAGTTGGTTGGCAATGGATAATAACCATGAGCATTTCTTCATGTGCTTGTTTACCACCTGTGGCAGTTGGATTTTATGTCAACTTGACCCGGTGTGGATGTGTAAGGGTAGAGTCACAGCTGGACGATGCATCCTTGGGAATGTGGCCTTTTTTGTAAGAGAGATAGTGAGGAATTCTCTTCCTCTCTCAAGTCCTTGGCCTTCCCACTTCCGGGAACTGTGTGACTGCCTCCAGGGGTGGCCCCATTTAGGCCACTGTGGGGGGGAAGCTATTGGCCCCCTGGCATGCTCCTGCCAACCTTAGGTCCATGTGACCCTGTACCCAGTGGCTTGTGATCTCCCTGTATCCTGCTTCACCTTTCTGTGTTATTGGCCTTCGGTGATGTGAGTCTAAAGAACTCCAGCTAGCATAGGAACCATGGGCTTGAGTTGGGCTAGGCTGGGATACCTTCTTGATACAAAGCTCATTTTTATTCATATATGAGTGTTGCTGTCGCTGCTTTTATTTCTCTAAACAGTCAAGTCTGACACACCACCTGAATATCTCCTCGGGTGAAGTGTCTGTTTATGTCCTCTGCACATTTTTATTTATTTTTATTATTTTTTT